TATCTTTTATCTATCTATCTATCTATCTATCTATCTATCTATCTATCTCCATCTGTTTATCTATGTATCCATATCTGTCCATCCATATTTGTGTGTCTGTGTGTGTGTCTCTGTGTCTGTCTGTCTATCTATCTATCTATCTATCTATCTATCTATCTATCTATCTATCTATCTATCTTTATGTCATCTCTCATCTCTCTCTCTCTATCTATCATCTATATCATTTATCTTTAATCTATCTATCTATCTCCATCTGTTTATCTATGTATCCATATCTGTCCATCCATATCTGTGTGCCTGTGTCTGTCTGTGTGTCTGTCTGTTCGTCTATCTATCTATCTATCTATCTATCTATCTATCTATCTATCTATCTATCCTGCATTGAATTCCTTCTCTTCCTTCTCTTTCCCTTTCTATCTTTAAAGAATTTCCTCCTCCTCCTCCTCCTCCTCCTCCCCTTCCTCCCCCTCCTCCTTTAAATCCCCCTCCGTTCTAGCCCCAATGATGTCCCCTAGCTGGGTCATGAAACATCTGTAAGAAAACCACCCAGCTCAGAGAGCAACAAGGAGCCCAGAGTTCCCCTTCCGCTCTATGGAAACACGTCTTTGGCCACTTATCTAAAGCAAGCAGCCCTAGCTACACTTCAGTCCAGTGGCAACCGGCGTCTCTTGTCCATGCGAAGGATCAAATCAAATCAGAATTGAGGGCCTGGATGAAATGCTTTAATCAAGATGCTTAAAAGGTCAGCATGCGCTTCTGCTAAGCTCCCAGAACGAGTGGCTGCCAAATACATGAGGTGGAGCAATCAAATTCCCTAAACCTTAAATCAGACAAGGTTTGGGTTGCAAATCCAAGCCTCTTTTGGAATCCAACGGCAGCCCAGGTTGGATTTGCAAACATCTCTCTCTCTCTCTCTCCTGGCCAAGAGTTTATTTCTCATCTGCTAGAGAAGACCCAAAGTGCCCCCCGAGTTTCTTTGGTCCAAATACAAAAAGTCACCAAAGTTTTGCTCATCACAAGGGGAGATTGTTTCCATAGATTGTTTTCCTGGTATATACAATTGGCCTTTAACAGGAGGAGGAGGAGGAGGAGGAGGAGGAGATTAGGAGGAGGAGGAGGAGGAGATTAGGAGAAGGAGGAAGAGAGGAGGAGGAGGAGAAGATAGAGAAGGCAAAGGAAAGAGAAGGCAAAGAAGAAAAAAAGAGAAGGAGAGAGGAGAAGGAGGAAAAGAAGGAAAAGGAGATAGAGAAGGAGAAGGCAGAGAGAAATCAGGAGATAGAAGATGATAAGGAGAAAAAGGAGAAGGAGAAGATAGAGAAGACGAAGGAGAAAATGAGAAGGAAGAGAAGGAAAACATAGGGAATAAGTAGGAGAGAGAAGACAAAGGAGAAAAAAGAGGAGGATGAGAAGCAGCTAGAGGAGGAGATGAAGGAAGAAGGAAATAGAGAATAAGCAGACGGAGACAATAAGAGAGGGATGGTAGGCACGCTGGTGCGCTTACGCACGGCCCCTTTAAGGACCTCTTAGGAAAGGGGTGAGGTCCACAGTAGACAGTTTGAGGTTGAAGCTATTGAGGAGTTGAGGCTGTAACAAGGGAGTCGGGTAGGGTGTTCCGGGCGTTGACCACTCTGTGGTTGAAGTCGTATTTTCTGCAATCGAGTTTGGAGCGGTTTACCTTGAGTTTGTATCGGTTGTTTGCCTGTTGCGGTTGAGGCTGAAGTAGTCATTGATGGGCTAATTATCTGCTAATTCCATGTCTCAGAATTCTTGAAGTATCCTGCATGAGTCAAAAAGAGGGTTGTGAAAATATCTACAGACCCCTCACATCCCGGACATAAACTGTTTCACCTCCTTCCCTCAAAATGACGCTCTATAGAGCCCTGCACACCAGAACAGCTAGACACAAGGAGAGTTTTTTCCTGAATGCCATCACTCTGCTAAACAAATAGTTCCCTCAACACTGTCCAACTATTACAAAGTCTGCACTACTATTACTGTTAATCTTCTCATCACTCCTTATCACTCATCCCCTCCCACTTGTGAATGTGTGACTGTAACTTTGTCACTTGTATCCTTACCATTGATATTAACTATTTCCTAGAATGATTTGGTTGCTTATTGTACCCTATGACTATCATTAAGTGTTGTACTTAAGTTTCTTGACAAATGTATCTTTTCTTTTATGTATACTGAGAGCATTTGCACCAAGACAAATTCCTTGTGTGTCCAATTACACTTGGCCAATAAAGAATTCTCTTCTCTTCTCTTCTCTTCTCTTCTCTTCTCTTCTCTTCTCTCTCTTCTCTTCTCTTCTCTTCTCTTCTCTTCTCTTCTCTTCTCTTCTCTTCTCTTCTCTTCTCTTCTCTTCTCTTCTGTCCTGTCCTGTCCTGTCCTGTCCTGTCCTATCCTATCCTATTCC